AACCCTAGCCCTTAACTTTTACCCTTTTACGGGAACCCTGTATTGGAGGTTGATGGGTAGGTATAAGTGGGTTATAAGCAAGTAGGGTAGCTATAATTACAACCCACACTCCACTTATAACTACCCATGAACCTCTAAACCCTAAACCCGGAACCCTTAAATCCTAGACCCCAAACCCTAGCCCCAAATCCACACCTTAAAGGAGCCCTGTTCCAGACATGGTCCATGATGGGTGTTGGTAACCCTAAACCGTAAACCCTAAACCCCAAACCCTAAACCCTAAACCCTAAACCCTAAACCCCAAACCCCAAACCCTAAACCCTGGACCCTCAACCCCAAACCCTAATCCCTCAAATCCCCCTCTTCCAGGCGCGGTCCTTGATGTCCCTATCCCTAAACCCTAACTCGAAACCCTAAACCCCAAAGCCCCCTCTTCCAGGCGCGGTCCTTGATGGGGGTTGGTAACCCTAAACCTATAGTACCCTTTAAAGGAAGCCTAGGATCCCTATAGTACCCTTTAAAGGAACCCTAAGGCCCCCTCTTCCAGACTCGGTCCTTCATGGGGGTTGGTAACCCTAAACCCCAAACCCTAAACCCCAAACCCTAAACCCTAACCCGAAACCCTAAACCCCAAATCTAAAGCCCCTCTTCCAGGCGCGGTCCTTGATGGGGGTTGGTGATGGCAGAGGGTCGAAGATCGGCACGCGCCCGAGGTTTTCGATAAGCTGAAGAGGCCTTTTGTAGTTAGAATAGGGCTTTGGGGTTCCTTTAAAGGGATCCTTAAAGGGTTCTAGAAGGTCTGCTATAAGGGATCGGGGCTTTAATAAGAGCCGCCCCCAGGGGTTTAGGGTTTAGGGATGTTTAGGGTTTAGGGGCTGTTTAGGGTTTAGGGTTTAGGGTTTGTTTGGGGTTTAGGGCTTAGGGTTTAATCTGTTTAGGGCCTTTGGGTTTAGGGTTGTTTAGGGTTTCGGGTTCAGGGTGTAGGGTTTAAGGTTTCGAGCTTAGTTTACCTGGACCCTAAAGAACCTACCTTTTGAGGGTAAATACCTGAAACCACAGGGACCTTACTGGTATGGCTTAAGGTAGATACTCCTTAATTATGGGGTATTGGGCCCATGGCCGTAGATGCTGTTAGGTGCCTTTCTTTTAGGCTTGTTTCGATTAAGGCTTCAGGGTGATTTAGAGGACAGGGCCAGCAGGTTGTCATTCGACCTCTAAACCCCAAACCCCAAACCCTAAAGCCTAAACCCTAAACCCCTAAACCCCTAAACCCCTAAACCCAAAACCCTAAATCCAAACCTTAAACCCTAAATCTTAAACCCTAAACCCCTAAGCCTTGACCCTAACCCCAAGAACTCGCGAACAGCTCAAGAACACAAAGGGGCTCGAGCGATGGATTGAGGTCCGGCTTTAGAGCCGGAAGCCCCGAAGCCCGAATAGCCCCAAATGAGGCTTCAAGAGCGGGCGGCGGAATGACAAATGTACGGCCCTTAACCATTAGAGTAGGGCTTCGGGGGTATACCATTCTGTAGGTATGGTAAGGAAGCCTAAGATACAAAATTAGGCCCCTACTGTAGGGGCCTTAATACTTAGAATAAGATGTTGAGGTGCATTATACTATAGCTACAATAAGGAATCCCCCAACATAGTATAGGCAATTGTACTAAGGCCCCTAAACCCTAAACCCTAAACCCTAAACCCTAAACCCCTAAACCCTAAACCCTAGGTTCTGGGGTTCAGAAGCTTAAGGCTTTTTCGGCTTGAGGCTGTAGGGGCTCTGGGATTTGAAGAATTTGGGGTTCAGGGTTTGGGGTTTAGGTTTAGGGTTTATAAAGTAGGGTTTAGGGTTTAGGATTTAGGGTTCGGGGATGGGGCATAGGGGATGACGACAATAGTTCAGCCAGACTTTTCGAGGTAGCAGACTAGAGAGAGTTAGATACTCAATGTGGCTGCACCAACTTTAGCAGCTGGGGGCGGGGTGAAACCTCAGACTGGATATATCAGAATACTCAACATCCATCTCTGTGAGCATTGAACAATGAATGTACAAAGCACTGCAGCCGCCCCGCACTAAACCCTAACCCTAAACCCCTAAACCCTAAAGCTTAAAACCCTAAAACCCTAAACCCTAAACCCAAAAGCCTAGCCTGTTCCCTTCTGCTCGTTGAAGGTACTCGACCTTCAGTCTACCGGCTTCGCTCGATGTCTGGGGCTTAGAGTTTCTGCTTTAGGGTTTAGAGTTGCAGGAATTGGGTATGCAGGGTATATTACGGTGTGTGCGTGTGTATATATATATACACACACACATATGCAAACTGCTAGATGCAAGCAAAAATAGACAGACACATGTACAGATATGAATGTGTCTATTGATCTAGTTGTTTGTTTGTTTGCTTGATTGTATGATTGTTTGTGTGTTTGCTTGCTTGCTTGCTTGTTTGCTGGTTTGTGCGTTTGCTTGTTTGCTGTTTTGGTTGTTTGCTTGCTTGCTTGCTTGCTTGTTTGTTTGTGTGTTTGATTGTTAGTTTGTTTGTGTTTGTGTGTTTGTGTGTTTGTTTAGTTGTTTGTTTGCTTGCTTGCTTGTTTGTTGGTTTGTTTGTTTCTTAGATTATTTTGTTGTTTATGTGTTTGTTTGTTTGCTTGCTTTCTGTATCACGATTGAATGAACATGTCTATCTACGGATAGATGGACAGATGGATAGATAGATGGATAGATAGATAGATAGATAGATAGATAGATAGATATGGATGGAAAGATAGATCGACCGATAGATCGAAATTAGATAAACAAATAGAAAAGATAGACGGATGGATGGGTGGGTGGATGGATAGGCAGATAGGATAGATGGAGGGATGGATGGATGGATCGATAGATGGAAAGCAACACTAAGGGGGGGAGATAGTGCTACCGTACTACGGACCACCAGCCACGCTTTTTGACCTACAATGTTGCATGATTGCTTGATCCTGCCGCAAAAAAAAGTCAGCCAACAAAAGGCTTTTGTGTCTAATTACGATCGAAAGGGTTTAGGGTCTAGGGATACCCCAAACCCGAAGAGCATAAACGATTCTGGAGGTGCCTACAAGTGTTCAGCATCTGCGCACGCCCGAGACCCTCAATCACACAAGCCCAACAACAACTACAAGCCCAAAAAGGGATCAAGAGAAGCATCGGAACTTTCAACTATTCCATATGTGCATCAGACGAGAAGGATCACAAGACTTAATGAAGGAGCATACCAGAGATTACAAAATGAAAGCAGAACACATTCACAGCAATATCCTGAATCAATGGGTCGTAAATTTAAAGTCTCTGCTGTGGAAACCTAAAAACTCAGCCCACCGAACTCAGGACAGCAGAGAAACCCTAAACCCGAAACCTAACTTCCTGCAACCGCAAAACCGGGGGTTTGGGGTTTAGGACTCCGGGTTGAGGCTTGGGGTTTGGGGGAGAAGGGTTTCGGGTTTAGGGTTTAGGGTTTAGGGTTTAGGGTTTAGAGGCTTGGGGTTTGGGGGGAGAAGGGTTTGGGGTTTAGGGCTTCGGGCTTGGGCTTTTGGGGAGTTCGGACTTAGCCTCTCCAACTCCAGAAGACTCCCGCGCAACAGGGTTTAGGGTTTAGGGTTTAGGGCTTAGGGTTTAGGGTTTAGGGTTTAGGTTTTAGGGTTTAGGGTTTAGGGTTTTTTAGGGATTTCGAACACAGGGAACCCAGCGAAGACCCAAGACACTAAGATACTTAAGAGCATTATACACCAAGACTTCGGCCCCGGACAAAAAACGAAACAAACAACTAAACCCTAAATTCTACAACCCTAAAGCCTAATGCCTAAACACTAAAGACCTAGAACAAACATAAGGCAAGCATCAAGACTCGAACCTTCTAGCTCCAAATAAGACTTTCCAACTTCCTTCAGCAGTCCAGAGCCCTGATGTAGGAGCCTTAATGAGTAGAATAGGGGTTCCTTGAAAGGGATCCTTAAAGGGTTCTATAAGGGATCGATAACGGAGTTCTATAGTAGGGGTCTTAACAATTAGAAGAAGGTTTTGGGGTTCCTTTAAAGGGTTGCTTAAAGGGTTCTATAAGGGCTACTATGAGGGTTTAGGGTTTAGGCGCCTTAAATAGAGGTAGAATTGGGTTTTGGGGCCCATTAATTATGCTGTCCTTATAACCAGGCAACCCCCAAAATGGTATAGGTACTCATTAAGGCCTCTACATTAAACCCCTAAACCCTGAACCCTAAACTTTTGGCCTCTATATTTCAATTCAGAATTCACAGATCACTCCTAGCCACCGTCCGGTGTTCCGAGTCGTTTCGAGCCATCCACCTGGCCCATGTCAAGGGTTCTCTTGCTTACAGTTTTGGGCTTAGGGTTTAGGGTTGAGGGTTTAGGGTCAAGGGTTCTCTTGCTTACAGTTTTGGGCTTAGGGTTTAGGGTTGAGGGTATAGGGTTTAGGGTTCTTGCTTACAGTTTTGGGTTTGGGGTTTAGGGTTTAGGGTTGAGGGTTCCCACTAAACCCTAAACCCTTAACCCCTAGCGGAGGCTTGAGGGTTTAAGGGGTTCGATATAGGGGTTCTGTGAGGGTCCTCGACGGGTTCTCTAAGTAAGGACTACTGTAGGAGGTGGGGCTCGTACTTGGAGGTTCATGGGTATTTCTAAGTGGGGTTATAAGTCCCCTAACATGGGTTATAATTATAGCTACCTTATTTATGACCCCACCTATAACTACCCATGAACCCCCCAAGTAGGGTTGAGGATGATGACTCCCCCTTTACTTCCGGAAAGGAAGCTTGAATACTGAACAGAGCGCTTGGGGTTCAGGGTGCTGGTATCAAGCATCCGGCAAACCTGTGCGCTTTGTGGAAAGCCCTGAAACCTAATATAGGAGCCTTAATAATTAAAATAGGGTTTTGGGGGCCCATTATACTACAATTATAATAAGGAGCCCCAAAACAATATAGGTAATTCTTAAGGCCCCTATATTAGCCGGCCACTTCCCAGCCTGATGAGGTAGTCTTCATCGATGTCGTCTTCTTGCACACCATGATCCTTTACTGAGCTTGGCACCCTGGCAAAAAATTATCTTGAGCTGTTCCTTGCGGACTATAATAGCCAAAAAACATATTCCAAGTACCCACTAAGGATCGCCGTTAACCAGGGGCCCGCGAACTGTCAGAGTCAGCTGATCCTCCAGCGGCCACGGTTCACCACCAGGGCCGTTCGGCTCACCAGCACTAAAATGGCTCAGCTCTGGCATCCGTGTAAGGTTCACAGCGGCCTTGTCGACCCTTTTCAGGAGTACCTGAGCAACCTGCATCGCGTTGATCGCGTTGAGTTCCAAGGCCCTCGCAATGCGCATGCCGTCCTCATACCGCGTAGCTAGGTCCTCAGGGTCACTGCACATGGAAAGAACTGTAAAGCTTACGGTTTAGGCGTTTGAGTCTTTAGGGCTTCGAGGGTTGAGGGCTTTGGAATGTGACAGTTCTCGGCTTTAAGTCACCGGTTTCTACCGGTGAGTTGGTCGGCCAGCATTGCAGGAATGATGAACATGAGAACCAATAGCAGATCGGTTGTCAGTATCAGGTCTCTGGTCTATATTTCTAAATCGGCAAGACCGATAGCAGTATCTGCAGCAGCAGCAGCAGTAGTAGCAGTAATCGTCGTCGTCGTCGTCTTAGAAGTAGCAGTCGTCGTCGTAGCAGTGGT